AGGGGTGACACAATGGCAACTGAACATCTCTAAAAGCCTTTCTTTTGCATCATTACCGATGGGGGGATGACAGTCACAGACTTTACATTTAGAAGTGATATTTCTTAGAAACATTTAGTCTCATTATTAACCATAATCACAGAGATCCAAAAAGTCATCGTGTTCTCACCAAGGATGACCTCATCCCAGAATGTGGAGAAGAAACCTCTGAAAGTACAGGCTATAAATAATCATTCTTTTGGCAAGTCAACAAGTGTAGCTTGTTATGAGAGCCTGTGAAATACATGTGTTTGGATATCTGAGCCTCCTAAGTGGGTATATGAGTCAGTGATTTTCAAAGTTTGCTCTGCTGCAAGATTTTCAGGGAGGCCTCGGGAACTCTGAGAAGTAGAGAAGCACTGAAGGAGAGGGACACGTGCAGTGTAAGGCTGTACATTTTTACAGAACCAGACGGCCACATCTTTCTCTTGCAGATTGACTGGTGGCTTCAAACCTTTCACCAGTAGTTGATCACTTAACCTTTGCACCACAAGGGTTTCCTAAAATGTGAATGGCTGGGAGGCATTTTCCCCTAGCCCTGGTGGTGCAACAATTAAGTAGTTGACTACCAATTGAACGGTTGATGGTTTAAACTGCTGGCAGTGTGCGCTCACAGTGAGATTGTTGCTGTTGTTAAATGCCATCAAGTCAATTCTGACTCATAGCGACCCTATATAGGGTTTTCAAGGAGCAGCTGGTGTTTGAACCGCAGATCTTTCGATTCAAATGACTGTTCAGTCATGTGCTTATGCCACAGTACCACAGCAGGATTACAGCCTTTATGGGGGCAGTTCCACTCTATGGAAGTGAAAATCAACTGAACAGTACCCAACAGCTTAATTGGCTATGGTTCCTGCAGGGGTGGGTAGTAGAGGCAGCACATCTGAGGGGCAGGTAGAACTGAATACAGAAAGATTGATTGAACAAATTGAATGGACCATTAAGACCTTCTATTCTCCCTGTCCTTTCTTGGTCAGGCAGAATAAGGAAGTTTATTGTCTTGAAAGATTGAATCAGAGAAGCTCTGGACTGTGGTGCACTCGGGCACAGTGAGGTGGTAAAGAGGTCCCTTACTGAAAGCAGGGGGATTAAGTGGCATTCTACATGCAGAGCCTTCAGCCCTTCCCTGGCTAGAGTCTTAAAACATTGGCAACCAGGTTGAAACTGCCTCACGATGAGGTTTCTCTGTGGCAACAGAGGAAAGATTTTAGACACATTCACTTGGTGCATCCCAATGAAATAGTTGCAGCTTTGTTATAAATTCAACTACAGTAGAGTTCACCATTCATTCACTCATAAATATTTACCAATTAGGCACCATTTTAAGAAATAGTTATTATGATGGTGAGCAAAACAGAAAAAGACCCATTCTCTTGGAGCTTACATTTTAGTGGTAGAGAAAGACAAAAACTTATTGAAATATATATAATACAATATCAGAGGCCTGGTATGGTGCTATATATAAGGTAAGGACTAGACTGCTGACTGCAAGGTCAGAAGTTTAAACCCAACAGCCACTCCTCAGAAATTCTATACAGGGTCACTATGAGTCAGAACTGACTTGATTGCACTTAACAACAACAACAGGAATATAACATGGCAATCAAAATCATGGACCCACAAAAGGAAGCATGAGAATTTAAATTTCAGGACAAACAGTGAAAATTTCCAAGTAGTTATAGTTTATTACATGGCTTACTTGTGACTAATAGAAGATTTTAATAATGTAAAAACTAGTTATTTGATCATAAATCGTAAAATAACTATGCAAGGAGAATGGGAGAGGGGACACAAAGTTATGCACATGGAAGGCTTATGAGAGAGAGCGACACTTTAATTTACGATAGTAGTCCACAGACGGTTACTTAAGGAAAGCTATGAAAATGAGTACTTTATTTAGAGATATGGATGCAGGCAAAGATACATATGGACTCCTGATATGGCGCTGTAAGATAAACACTCGACTGCTAACCACAAGGTTGGTGATTCAAACTCACTCCTTGGAAACACTGTATAGGGTTGCTATGAATCCGAACCCACATGACAGCACTTAACAACAACAAATGTAGGTAAATACCAGAAGAAACAACCATGGTGTTAAAAGCTGTTGCTTTTGGAGCAACAAAGGGCAAAGATAGTGGGAGAGGAGACTGTTTTTCTTTTGTGCTGTTATTATTATGGAGTCCTGGTGTAATGCTACAGGATAATGCCACCAGGTTAGTGGTTCAAACCCATCAGTTGCTCCTCGGAAACCCTATACAGCTTGCTGTAAGTCATAACCGAGTCGATGGCACGTAACAGAAACAGCAACATTATTATTATTATAAGCCCTGTCGTTTTTATTGAAGGATCCCTAGTGGTGCAGAAGTTAGCAGGCTCAGCTGCTAACCAAAAGGTTGGCTGTTTGCACCCACTGGCCACTTTGTCCATCTGCTTCCGTGAAGCTTTCTAGCCTTGGAAACCCTATGGGCAGTTCTATTCTGTCTTACACGGTCACTCTGAGTAAGAACTGGCTCAACAGCAGTGGGTTTGGATTGCTTGTTAGTTATTAATTTCATGTGACTTTCAAAGCTACATACGTGTATGTTGTTATTGGTAAGTGTCGTCGAGTTGGTTCCAACCCACAGTGACTCTGTATAGGGTTTCCAAGGAGCAGCTGGTGAGCTTGAACCACTGACGTTGCAGTTCAAATGACCTTGCAGCCCAGTGCATTAACCCACAGCGCCACACCAGGACTCCACATTTCAATTCCGTTCTTCCAAGAACTTTTTGAAGCCCCCCTCATGTAGTGTCCTAAGTCTCTATGAGTTGTCAGGTACCACATTATGATGGGAACAGAGCCAGGGACAAGAGAGACACAGTCCCTGCCTCTACCATGCTTCTAGCCCTGTTGGGGACCACTGTTTCCTTTGAGAGTTATCCTGATTATAGCAGGTTTACCATTTGAGAAACATTGAACACATTGAACAAAACAAAACAAAACTCCCATTTTTACAGATGGATATGAAATTACTGAACAGAGAAATGATATTTCTAGGAGATGACTTAGTTGGTGCTTTGGGGGAATCTTAAAGAATAATAGAGATCTTAGAGACCATATGATTGAATCCCCTCATTTTACTAATGTGGGGATGTAAAAATCTTAGTGAACTGTTGATCTCAACATTAGAAGCAGGTTAAGTCTAATTCTCAGGTCTCCAGGTCCCCAGGCCAGAGTTCTTCCGGTCACAACCCACTGGAGAGGAAAGAGGTACTTTTCCAGCAAAGGGACGGCTAATATTCCAGTTCTGGAATGATGTGTGGGAGCAAAAAGGGAATATTAGGAGACTGTGCTGGCACCCAGCTGAGGAAGCATGACCAAACTAGACTTCTGTCCCAATGTACTAATCCAACTGCAGTGCCTTGAAAATATGCATATATTTGAACTCTCTAAGTTTTGCTGATTTAGATGCATCTCTAAAAATCAGGGGATCTTTTGGCAGTGCAAACAATTCAGGTGCTTGCTGCTAAGTGAAAGGTAGGTAATTCAAGTCCATCCAGAAGCTCCTTGGAAAAAAGGCCTGATGATCTACTTCTGAAGAATCAGTCATTAAAAACTCCATAGAGCCCAGTTCTACTCTGACATATCTAGGGTCACTGTGAATCAGTGTGGTCTTCATGGCAACTGGTTTGGTTTTCTAAGGATCCCATTGAAATACAAGGCATATTAAAAGCCAGATAGACTAGATTGAGGCAGATATTAAAATACCTAGGACAAAGGAGAGACAAGATGGCTATCTGTGGGCTGGATGATACGGGAATGCTATCGTTTGCTTTCAACACCTGGTTTAATGTGATAGAAATGAATAAATTAAAGCCTACTATTTAAACATATGAATAAGTGGATATGTTTACCCTTAATCAAAAGGAAAAGAAGCCCTGGTACCATAGTGGGTTACAAGTTGGGCTGTAGACTGCAAGGTTGGCAGTTCAAATCTATCAGCTGCTTCTTGAGAGAAAGATGAGGCTCTCTGCTCTTGTAAAGACTGACAGCTTCGGAAGCCCTGTCGCTGTGAGTCAAAACCGACTCCACAGCACACAACCACCACCAATCCAACAGAAGCCATTTGAAGAGGACACAAGGGAAAGCTGTTGTGTCTTCTGTGGTTATCATCTTTATTAGAACAATGTTTTATATGCTTTGATTATTTGGAATACTGGTAATAATTTTGCAGATCATATTGCTACTCAAGGTGAGGTCTATGGATCAGTAGCACAGGTATCAGCTGAGAGCTTTCTAGAAATGTAGATTCTCAAGCCTCACCCCAGGACCACAGAATCAGCATCTGTATTGCTACCAAATTCCCTGGTGACTCAGAGGCCTGTTAAAGCTTGAGAAACTCTGATCTGTTGCCATACTTCCTAGGTAAATTATTATTTAAAAATATTTTTTTCATGGGAATTATCATTATGTAAATGGTCAATGATAGCCTGAAACAAATGAAGATAAAGGAAAGCTACCTAGCAGACAGGTTAAGAACAGTAATAAACATTGAATGATCAAAGCGGGAATTGGATTTCTCAGTTACCAGTATTCATTGCAATAAAATGTATCAGAAGGGTGATGTTGGATGCTTGGGGACCGCTTAATGGGAAATCTGGTGGTCTGCCACATGTCTCTAAGCATCAGCCAGCTAGTTTAGGAGTGTGGCTTAATTCCCTCATCACAGTGCAAAATCAGTAATTTATCCAGAAGAAAAATGAAATATAGAAATGTGACCTCAAGTGGCTGGGCAAATGGGCCAAAAAAAAAAAAAATAGTAAAGAGGGAGTCCTCTAAAATCCAAATAAAAATAAAAGCATTATTATTTTTTAAAACCTCACCCAAGGATTTAAAAGATACATTCTATTAGACATAGTCAGATGACAAAACCCATGAAATATATATATCAGAAAATAAACTCAAAAGAACATTGACTCACCGAGAGGAAAGACTTGGCTTCCCACTTTTGCTGCAGCTGGTATAAATTCCTGGGCCATCATCAAAGAAGCTTCCAAGTGCCAACTTCTGTCTGATAGATTCTCTCTCATTTTTCTGTGCCTAAAATTTCAGAAAAATAACAGAATGCCGATAAGCAGGCAGATACATCACCACCATAAGCAATTTAACTACTAAGTTTCTTAGAATTGTAACATAAGATGAAAACTAAACAAGTCACAGCACAAGAGCGTTTGAATTAGTATGGAGGTGTAGGATAAGCACTGGACTGATAACTACCAGTCAGTGGTTCAAACCTACCAGGGCCTCCTCCCAGAAAACCCTGTACATGGTCGCTATGAGTCAGAACTAATTAGACAGTACTTAATAACAACATAATTACACTGGCTTTTAAGGACCTGTGGTGGCACAGACGTTAAGTGCTCAGTCATTCACTGAAAGGTCAGTGGTTCAATCCCACTAGATGCTCTGTAAGAGAAGGATGTGGCAGCCTTGGAAACCCTGTGCGGCAGTTCTGCTTTGTCCTGTTGGGTTGCCAAGTGTTGCAATCAACTTGACAGGTTTGGTTTTGAGGTTCTACTGGTTTCACCTCTGCAAGCAATTTTAATTCATAGCTCTTTATGCTTTCTAGTCCAGGGAATTATGATTGTGCCATTACATGAGTTTCACCAGGATAAAAACCAGATTCTGTCATTATGATTACAACTCATGGAGTCAGAGTAGAATGTGTGTATCAGAGTAGAACTGTATTTGATATGGTTTTTTTAATAGCTTATTTTTTTTTTTTTATAGTAGATTGCCAACTCTTTCTTCCTAGGTGTCTCCAACCTTTTGGTTAGCAGTCAAATTAATTAATTGTACAACTCAAGAACGTCTGTGATCTTTCTTCTTCCAACCTGCTAAAGTCATTGAGGACAAACATTTTCTCCTGGATCTGATGACTTTGATCTTGTATGTGGCCTTTCCCCAGATCAGCTCTTCAGTCCACTTTTTCTATTGCAAGGTTATTAATTCATCCAACCAATATGCCCCCAGCCTCTATGAGTTGTCAGGTACCACATTATGATGGGAACAGAGCCAAGGACAAGAGAGACAGTCCCTGCCTCCACCATGCTTCTAGTCCTGTTGGGGATCACTATTTCCTTTGAGAGTTATCCTGACTATAGCAGGTTTAGCATTTGAGAAACATTGAACACAGTGTCTGGAATTGCTGAAGAATTCTAATTGGACCCATCTGTTTCATATTTTGAAGGGAAGTCAGGTTGTTTTGCATAGGAAAGGGATTTGGTAAACTACACTACTGTGATAATTTGAGTATGTTTACAACACTTTGCTTCCCATAAAAGTCCCATAAAAACTCACCATGCTGAACTTTTAAACCCTTTAAACAACAGGCCAGAAGATTAGAAAGGATTTCCTTAGTTAAAAATAAAACCACTACAGAAAAACAAACAAAGCATGTTAGAAATCCCAGGTTGAGAATGGGACTTTTGGAAGCTTAGTGGCACTGATGGCCAAACTTCGTCTCTCATACTTCGGACTCATATTGTCAGGAGGGACCAGTCGCTGGAGAAGGATACCATGTTTGGTAAGGTGGAGGGTCAGAGAAAAAGAGGAAGACCCCAACGAGATGGACTGGCCAAGTGGCAGCATCAATGGACTCAAGCATGGCAACAGTAGTGAGGTTGGCCCAGGATCAGGCAGTGTTTCATTCTGATGTTCATTGTTCATAAGGTTACTATGGGTCGGTACTGACTTGATGGCACCTAACAGCAACAAACAAGTGGCACTGTGGGTTAAGCACTGAGCTGCTAATGTGAGGTCAGCAGTTCAAGCCTACCAGCCACTCTGCAGAAAGAAGATGAGGCTGTCTACTCCCATGAAGATTTATAGTCTAGGAAACCCTGAAGAACAGTTCTACTCTGTACCATAGGGTCGCTGTGAGTTGGAATTGACTTGATGGCACTGCGTTTATATATTTTCTTGTGTAGAATGATGAACACTGTGAGAAGTATGGGTTATGTTCCCAAAAGGAGATAAAGTAAGTTACATGGCAAAATCCATGTCACCTGGTTGGGCATGGTTACTGAAGGCATGAAGATGCCTTGACTCCTATAGGAGATGCTGGAGCCACATTTGCTGCCACCATTAATCAGAAATTATACGTAAAAACTCTGAGCATCCAGTGGCAGAATGAAGAGATGTACAATGTGTAGAAAGGGACAGTTAAAAATAAAATGACTTAACTTCATCCCAAGTGAATGATGATATAGTTAAACCTACTGCCATCAAGTTGATTCCAACTCAGAACGACACTATAGGACAGAGTAGAGCTGTCCTATAAGGCGTCCAAGGCTGTGATCTTTACAGAAGTAGACTGTCTCATCTTTCTCCCATGGAGCAGCTAGTGGGTTCAAACTGCCAACCTTTTGATTAGCAGCTGAGTTCTTAACCACAGCATCATCAGGGTTCCTTAATGACAGTGTACTATGGTTTAAGATGCTCAGTCCAATGTGGTAGTTACTTGTCACATGGAGTTATTCACATTAACATTAAACTGAGTTAAAATTCACAGTCATACTTGCTACATTTGAAGTAATCAACAGTCACAGGTGGATGGTGCACTCAATACTGGACAGAGCTGAATGGGACATCTGATGGCGCTGATGGTGAGATTCAATTGCCATCGCCAACAGGTTGCATCAGAATCCCTTCTAGAAAGTAAGGTCTTCAAAAGACACATTCCTAGTCTCTAATAGTACATATGAAGACCTTCTAGTTCAAGGGAGGAATCCTGGTGTGGTGCTGTGGGGTAAAACACTGGACCACAAGGTCAGTTTGAACCATAAGTTCAAACTCACCAGCTGCTCCTTGGAGATCTTGGAGATATACAGGGTCGCTGTGACTTGGCACCCACTTGACACAATAACAACAACAATAGTCCAAGGAAAAAGGAACCTTGGTGGTGCAGTAGGTTAAACATTGTGTTGCTAATCAAAAGGGTGGCAGTTCGAACCCACCAGCCACTACACAAGAGCAAGATGAGGCAGTCTGCTTCCACAAAGATTTCAGCCCTGGAAACCCTAGGAACAATCCTACTTTGTCTTACAGGGCTGCTGCGAATCACACTCGACTCTGGCAGTGGGTTGGGTTTGGTTTAATCCAAGGAAAGCTCATTTCAATTCTCCTTTATACTAATATTTCTACATTCTTGGATAATGCAAGTTTTTGTTTTTTTAAAACTCTGTTATCTGTATCTATTGTTGTTATTGTTGTTAAGTGCCGTTGAATAGCGACTCTGTCTAGGGTTCTGACGAGTGGCTGATTGAACCGCCGACCTTGTGGTTCAAACCGACCTTGCAGTCCAGTGCATCATCCTGCAGTGCCACACCTTTGTAACTATATCTCCAATGTGGCCTTTGGATAAAGCTATAAGCACTGGACTGTAAACTGAAAGGTCTGTGGTTTAAACTCACCAGCTGCTCCTTGGAAACCCTATCCAGGATGCTGTAAATTGGAACCAACTCGATGGCACTTAACAATATATCCCCCTATGCCAGAGGAACAGTGTCATAGTTGGGGCTATCATTTATGTATGTGTGTAATAAACCCACAAAGGTACATAATGCTTTTATTCAGTCATAGCTGGGAAGCTGAGTCCCTACTGTTTACTGGGCTAGCAGCCCTGAGAAAGTCCTGTAACCATAAGGTTGGATAGGGAAGCAAGAATGATTTTAATTTTACTAACCATTTACAACTTACACTGCTAGGAACCTTCATGAAAGCAAATCGTCCTTTCAAATATGCAGGGCTTATACTCGTGATGGCCCAGCCCAAACAGAACTGCATTTCTTGACATCTTTATTAAAAACAAATTCATTTCAAAATCCTCAAATCTGCCAGGCAGACTCTGTGTAGTCAGTGAACCACCCTCTCTTCTCAATGTATGATAGACAAGGAATTTCTCACCCAATGTCCTCAACAGTCGGATCACTATTGATTGCAAGTGAATATCCAAATATACAATCAGTAGATGACAAGATGAGTGCTAATGACCATTGTTCGACAACATGCTGTGTCCAGCATTAGAATGGAACCTGGCAGGTGATCTATTTAAAGAAAACACCTATTCTAGGTGTGAATATGCGAATACACATTTGATTCCATGGGTATTTTCCCTGATAATTTGATATGCTGTTATTATCTGCCATCAAGTTGGTTCCGACTCATAGCAACCCTGTATAGGGTTTCTGAGGAGCAGCTGGTAGGTTTGAACTACTGACTTTTGAGGTTAGCAGTCCAGTGTTTCTCCTATGGCACCAAACCAGGAATCCAATTTGGTACACTAGAGGCGTACATATTTGGGGGAGGCCTTAAAATATTTCTGTTTCCACTAATTACCATTCTTCTCCTACTTTAGATTTCATCAATAGTTACAGAACACTGCTTATAACACACTCGCCTTTCCTCCCTCTTCTCTCCCATCAAGGAAATTAAGTAAAAAGAAGAATGTAAACGTCAACTATAATTCCACCACCTAGAGAGAATCTATTGCTAATATTTTTCAATTATTTTTTTAATCTTATGTATTTTTTCCCCTTTTCAGAAAGTTGGAATCGGATTATTGCTAGAGTTTCCCCCATACTATTTAATGCACTCACTTCTTACTTATCGACCTGGTTAGGTTCCAAAGATCAGGTTGTTATGTGATAATCCACACAATACAAAGATGGAAGACGGCCGCATCAGATCACAAAGTGGAGAATGACTATATTATTACATAACTGCCAAATTGCACCATTACACAACTGCTAAACCAGTGAGAATTATGATTCTGCCAAACAGACACATAGCCTTAGCCATCCCAGCCAGGGAGACTCTTGCCTTTGCCATACAGCTCTGTGCTTGCTACTGCCAGAAGTACCTTGTTAATGTGCAAAATAGTCAGTTGGTAGACATTTTACTATTGCTGGAAATGTGAAACATCAGATAAAAAGATAGTGGATAAGTGAGGAGTGGGTGTATTTTTTTTTTTTTTTAAATATAACATTTTTTACTTGAGTATCATTCCACCCTATGGAGTTACTTGCTATTGTTAGCCA